GCGCATGAGGCGAGATTGACGAGGCAGGCCTGGACTAGGATCGGTTCGGTGACGGCGAATCGAGCCATCGAGGAGAGGATTTTGAAATACGTCAGGTCCGTATTTTTGGCTGGGTAGTCTGGGATGATGAGGTACCCTGCGAGGAGAACGAAGACTTGGACGCCGATGGCGAGGTAGTACCTGATGTAGGATCAGCACAGCCGTATAATCTTCTCAAGAGCAACCCACACCACCCGCCACGATGTGAATTGGCCGATGATCCCAGCAATGACTCGGGCCACGAGGACACCGAGAAGTAAGCCGGAATAAACGATGGACAGCGCCGATCCTCGGCGTTCTGGCGGGGCTAGATCGGCTGCGAGAGGCTTGACTGAATTAGCAACGTGAAACTCAGCTGAAAGAACGCAGCGTACGTACGATCATGATCTGCGGTGTGAGCGATACCATGCCGATGAGAAAGGACAACGCCTCGAACACGACGATGTTCTTAGTAACGGCCACCCCCACGGTCAGACTGGCAGAAACGAGAGTGAGAGTCAGGATGAGCTGACGTCGGCGAACGAGATCGCCCAGCGGGGAAATGAACAAGATTCCTGTTGCATATCTGGACAAATCCTTCAGCCGTGAAACTCGAGGGTGATGGCGGTGACTCGCCCTGCCTGCAGCAGCGTCGGTATCTGAGAAACGCGATCGTAATCCACCCCAAACGACTCGGAGAACTGGACTACGCGACGTTAGAGCATGTAAGCCGACTTTTTTTTTTTGACCCGAAAACTCACTCAGTAGCGGCTGAGGACAAACCAACTCAGCGCGGCGCGTCAGAGGAACGTAGGCAGACATACTTGACAGTAATACAAATTGGCCACTATGAAGGTCGCGGCGAATCCGAATAGGACATTCAGCACCATGGTAAACACGAATGGTCGCGCCGGGTCATAACGCAGGCGCCGTGGGATGGGGAGTATACCGCAGTCGAAACTGGGACCCACAGCAGAGGGAGACGACATGGAGAGGTAGGACGGAGAGGAAGCAGGACCGTGTCCTATTTTAATCGTCCAGTCCTGGGTTTGGCGAGTGACGCCAGTCAAAAAACCTGATATATGGTCACAGTCACCGGCGCGAATCTGACAGTCCCGGTGGCTATGCGAATAGCCGCAATTTGAATATATAGTATATGAAGAAGTTCAGAACATGAAGAAGTTCCGTAGTCTTGTGGAAGGCTCGCCAATCCGATGGACTCTGTATCGATTCGCTTCCCGCGCAGAAAAATTGCGCCATTGAGTTGGTTAACAACACACGTTGGAGCCCCCAGGTCCGCGCAAAACGCCTGTCATGCATGCTTGGATGCATCCTACTGGTCCATCTCCAACTCTGGGCCTGATTGACGAGAAGGCCTCGGGCTGCTTCTTTCTTCTCCGCGCTCGAGGGTTTTGATCCGGTATGCCCTGCCGGTACATTTTCAAGTTTGTCTACGATTGTGGGAACATGGCGCAATATTTGGGGATCCAGATCTCGGTGTTGACGAAGAGATGTTTAGACGTCTGTTGTTTTTATTTCTTTTTGCGATGGAGGCCGATAATCTATTGAAGGCCTTGAAGACGATTGAGTAGGAATGAGTCTGTAGTTTTCCCACAGGTGATGGATGCGTGTCCCTCACTTTTGAATTTTCCTGTGCCATGCCATATAAATGGTGAAGTATTTTTCAAAAGCTGGGATACTGAAGCCGAATACCTAGCCGTCTCCGAGAGATGTCTTGGATGCATCCACGGCCTGGCTTGAACGACTGGTACTGACTTGACATATCCGGCCGATCCATGTCGGCTCGAACTCCTGACCGCGACCGGTAAACCAGTCTACAGTAGATGATACTGGACTCGAATCGTTTGTCACAGCGAACGCTTAGAAGACAGGGGCTTACAAAGTGCTTCCGTGTGAAATTGCCTTCCGAGGAGGTAGAGCTGATCTGACAGCTTCGCATGGTACGTGTGTCGATCCGCGGCCCTTGAGCTCTTGCTTCTTCCCGGTTCAATGTAAGAGCCTGGTGCGAGGACAATGTCGAAGTGGAGTCGCCAATGCCAATCGGGAGATTTCTAGGACTTGCATTTCGCATTCTTGGCCATCTGGAGACTCATCTGGCGCATCATCGGTACGCGATGTTTTCATGCGCTGTCAGCTTGAGACGTCGAAACCGGCTCCAGCGCTGATGCAGGAAGTGAAGAAACGTGTGTGAAGCCTGCGGAGCGTTTGTGGGACATGGCCACAGCCCGGCTCCGTTTCCAAGTTCCTCATCCAGCGCGATTACGACTCAGCCACCTCCGAATCTCGTCATCGCTGCGCCGCAGTCTATTAACGGGTGCTCGATCCCGCGAACTTTGTCGCATGAGACACTGCCCGCAATTCAAACCATCTGGTTCGGAGTCTTGTGACAGGAGAAAATTATGGGACAGCAACGGCGGAGGTAGAGTGGTTTGAGTGCTCCCGGACTTCGTGTCGGTGCTCTGTAGAAGCTCCGTGACTACTGTCACTTCCTTGAGAAGGCGATAGGTGGGAGCCTTCTAGCCGCGGTTCGAGCGAAGCCGAGACCAGTGTTTGGTAACTAACAAAGGGAGTGCGTCGTGTAAACTTTCATGCCTCTAAAAATAGAACTCGGGGCCGACATTGGGATAGCGCAGTGCCCAAGATTTTTTGTTTTGTTTGAAAATTTAAGCAGGATTTCAAGAGGGTTCTGAGAAATAGATATGCACGCAAGCCGTTCAAACCCGTTCCAATATGGCGATGATGCAATCCCGATGCTTGGATAATCTCAGAGCAGCCACCACCACGGATAGCGTTCGTATTGAAGACGTGCCCGCGTCGACCAGTCATCTGAAAACTCTGACATGGAGGTAGGTGGCGAGATGCAAGCTCAAATGAGGCCGACACGCGCTGATGTGCTGTATCATAGCTTTCTTCTCGCCCGATCTGCGCCAGGTAAAGACTCCCAACACTCCTCGAGAAGACGTGGTTCGGCGCTTCGAGTATAACATGGGTACCGAGGCGATCCTAGAGCCTCTGCTGGCCCATGAATTCTTCTGGGGCTCCGGAATCTCGCACTCGTATCTATGCAGAATATGGATCTTTCGGCTGGCTTTCAGCCCATTTATTCCACTGATCGGTCTGACAGTCTTGATTTATTCTATGCGCGGGTTCGCGCGATTATGTCTCCAGTCTGAGTCGTTTCTTGGATGGGTTTCTATCATGAGTGAAGAGTCTTTGCCGTCACGATCGGCGTTCTCTTAGTGCAACAATGTCACCCACGCGGACTGTGCCATAACAGTCATGAGGAGCTGCTGTGCGTGACGCGGCTCCTTCAAGCAGTGGGCTTTTCGTTCGTCTTGTCAGTTGTTTTGCTTACTTCATGCTACGCGAGCACCGACATTGTTTGCGGATGTGGGACGGTATTTATGACTCCGGTGGCAGAATATTGCCATTTGCGGCTATCGGCTACCGGGCTTCTGTATGACGCAATTTAGCCGATGCCAGTCTTAGGCCTAGGGAGGCCCTCGGACACTTAGGGTGAACATCCTGCCAAATAGAGTAAATCTGAGCAAAATCTTTGACTTTTCCCCTCCGCATAATAGAGTAAAAATGAGCATTTGGGGTCCATAACCCTCTCTAAATAGGGTAAAAGTCGCGCGTAGTGCGACTGATTTTGGACATTTACCCCCCAGCTGCGGTCAAAAGTTGCTCAACTCTGGAGATTACGGGCAATGCCAAGGAGCTTTCAGAGACTCCTCGAGGGCAGGGGAAAGCACGTAAATAGACCCAGATCATAGCCGTAGTCGGTAATGGCCCAGGCGGAAAAATGGATTTACCCTCCGAAAATAGAGTAAAAGTTGGCCAAAACCCAGAAAAGTTTAGAGTAAAAGTATCCGAACCGGTGGAGGATGTTCATATCAAGTGTCCGAGGGCCTGCCTAGGGTCTTCGAGAGACCGGAGAGACCGCACGGCGCGTGGATTCTTTTAGGGAGGTTGAATTCTTCGAGGTTCCAATCGACGTCCACCCTTCTTCGAAGCGTATCCATGATGTGACCACCGGTCTCACTGGGACGGGAGTGATACATTCAAGTCCAAAATTAGCTGTCACACAACCGAATCCCGGATCTTCATACGCGACCATGAAACACGGAGCAAAGTCACGTGTTTTCGCGAGTAAGTGCTTATGCCTGACAAATGCGAAGTTCGCAAACCATGGTCAGCAAGAAAATGAGCGTAACCTTCAACGGAGTCGCAACATCGAAGGTGATGGCGGAACAGGTCGGATGACAAGTCCACCAGCGGCCCTCCACCATGTTTTCTCCCTCCGCGGTATTTTCGTCTTCGGCGGTCTCGAACGCCCTCGGGCCTCAACTGCACGATGGGCGTCGCATCGGATAATTAGTAATTGTTTTCTAATTCTCACAGATTCTTGTCCTTGGAACCCGATTCAACTTGTGCTTCCGTTTCGCAGCCGACGGACAGAATCCCGTAGCCTGACATCACCGTATTCACGTTCGATATCCACTCCTTGCAAAGCACGCTGGAGCTGCGAAGGATCGATCCGCTAGCATATACACTGTATGCGAGGATGAGGTGGTTTGTCGGGTTACCATGCGGTGTTCTGTGATTTCTCAGGAATTCTCGGTGACGCTGACGGGCGGAAGGCAGAAAGATGCGGGGCTCAAATCGGTGACGCGAAAGCACTATGAATCATGATGTGGTAGACGAGAGGACTGTTCGTCAGAAATGAGCCAGGTCACACAGCCGCTGGTCGGCATCTATCATCATCACCTCACAGGGAGTCAATTACCGAGGACCCAATCTCCGTGAACTGCCGGGAAAAGCTTTTTGACAATTCAGAGACGCGCAACATATTCGACTGATTCTTGCAGATGGAGGTAACAGATTCAGGGAGGTCATGATGTTGATCTTGCTCCGTTCTTTCAGATCGCTTCTGGGTCTCGATCACTTGCATATGGTGCATGGAGACGTTCCCGTCTGCTCGCTTCTTTGCTCTCATAACGCGTGCAGAAGAATGTGATGTTTTTTTGGTGCTTAACAGACGCGGCGCTCGCGAAGATCGCTTAAAACTATGGGTCTGTAAGTGGGCTCGATAGACCAAAAAGTCCCCTCCTCTCATTACTCGCTAAGCGCTTCCACACGAAATGCAGCTCATCACTGGCCCTGTGGTTCCTCCCACCCACTCTCCACGTACCGAACTCGATGCCAGTGTGACTTCCGTCTACCCCATGACCAGGGCTCAAGAGGGGATCTGGATGGCTTACTCTGCTCAGCCACAGCACACCCTGTACAATTTGACAATGAAATTCACATTGGCATCCTCGGACACCTACTCGATGGAGAAAGTTCTAGCGGGTGAGGACATCGGCGATCTCAGCCTCGGACTGTGCACTCACTGGACATCACAGGCATCCAGACCCTCACCGCGCGTCACGGAATACTGCGGTCCACCTTCCACGGCAACAAGTCGGTGCTGTCCCGCCCATTCGTCGCGGAGTGGGACGCCCAGTCCGCGCTGCCGTCGGTCCGAATCGTCGCGGAGCCGAAGACGGCCATCGCCAAAATGCATTTGCAAAAGCTGCTCCACCAGGCTGTGCCGCTGTCGGAAGAGTTTGCTGTGCGCTGGCTCGTCGTCGAGCTCCAAGGCGCCATCGAGGTATATGTGATTGCGCATCACATTGCCCTGGACGGAACGAGCATGAGCGAGCTCAGTGGTGAGCTCCTGTGTCTGCTCGACGGGAAGGCGGAGGAGAGCAAGCCGATCGGCGAGGTTTTCCAAAAGGCTCATATGATGGAGGTGCGTTTTTTTGATCATTCGTCGTTGCTTAATGAATTCTGATCCGGTGCAGTCTGTGTTCCGAGGATCCGGTGCGTTCCAGCTGGCCAAGGAGTTCTGGCTCTCGCAAGCCGGAATACCTCGTCGATCCAGTGGAAAGGTGTGCCCAAGGTGCCCGAGTCCCAGAACTACCGTGAGATTGCGAGATGGTCCGAGTTCAGCAAAGACGTGCGTGCGCGTGTTACCTCCCCGGTGTTCCAGTTGATTGACCGGATGTCACGCAGCAACTGGCGCAATGGAGCGCGCGGCATCGCACGTCGTGGTTCAGGGTCGCGCTGGCCGTGGTCGCACTCCTCACCCAATCGCACTCCATCGCAGGCTCGTCCCGCGATCAGACGCTGACGGTGGCGTTCGGCGGCCGTCCCAAGGGCCTTGATCGAACCGTGGGACATTTTGCCAACGCACTCCCCATCCGGGTCCCGGTGTCTCATCTGATCCGATCATCGTCCACCATCACCTTCGACGCGCTGCTCCGCCTGCTCTCGACCACCGTGTCGACTGCGAAGAAACATGAGCGGTTCTCGTTCACGGATCTGTCGCAGGCGTGCCTCGAGGAGGGCTGCATGCCGCCGCGGGCGCAGGTTGCGGTGACGCTGTCTCCGAAGCTAGAGCGCGAGGAGTGTGAGCTGTACCCCGTCGAGGGCCCATATGATCTCTTCTTCTGCTTTCTGGAGGCCGCTGACAGCGTCTCTCTCGGAGTGAGTCTATCTGCTGGTCATTCAACCGTAAAACTCATAAGGCTGTTCCAGGTCATCTACGACCCGACGCTGTTCGACCAGAAATCGATTGCGGCGCTCAAAGTCGACTTTGAACGGATCGTGGCCCAAGCCATGGCAGAGACGCCTTTCGATCTCCAACCGCTTCTGGGGAGCCGCATCCCATGTCTGATGCCGCCTATCGACACGACCGATGCGGGCCAGGTCAGCAAGCGCCGTTTCCATGCCATGTTCGAGCACCAGGCCGCTCGCAATCCCGCCGCGGTTGCCATGAGTTGTGCGGAGCGAGACGAGTCCATGACGTATGGAGAGATGAATGAGCGCGCGAATCAGATGGCGAACGGTCCGTTTATTGTCCCCCCGTGTGTGGCCCGAGGTCTCATTCCTTTACAGCGCTGCGCCAATTGGGAATGGGCCGCACCCATGTCGTGCTGTTGCACTTGAAGCGGGGCTTCTCTACGTTGTGCTGGATCCTTGCCGTGCTCAAGGCCGGGGCGACGTACGCTATAGCTGATCAAGGCCACCCGCTTGAGCGGACGCGTAGTGCGATGGCCGTCGCCGAGCCCGACCTCATCGTGGATGACGGGATGGTATCGAAGTGGGCCTCTTCTCAGGGACCGTCAAGATCTTGCGCACGGACACGTGCATCTTGGACGCGTTCCCGAGAGACAATCTGGAGGATGTGTCGCAAGACGATGACCTGGCATACATTGTCTTCACTTCTGGCAGCACCGGTATGTTTGCAACTTGCTCCTTCTGGCATTGATTTGCTCAATGTCTCACGCAGGCCAGCCCAAGGGCGTCGAGATCACGCACAGCAGCCTCTCGAACTGGATCACGGCCGCCCACGCAGCCGGATATTTCCCCATGGGCCCGTTTTCCCGCGTGCTGCAGTTCGCCACGTTTGCTTTCGACGCGGCCGTCCTCGAATGGTCCCTGGCACTTTCCCTGGGATCCAACCTGTGCTTTGCCAACACCCCCCAGGCCCTGATCGGCGACTACCTCGCGGACGTCATCGACAAGAATCTCGTGACCCATATGCACCTCACTCCCAGTGTGCTTGGGACTCTGCCGGCGTCGAGAAGATTGCAGAGCCTGGAGTGCATCAGTGTGGGCGGAGAGATGGTCCCCGACAACCTTATCGAACGTTGGAGAACGAGAGTGACCCTGCAGAATGCTTATGGGCCGACCGAAGCGTACGTCCGTGTCCTTTCATCTACTGACCAGCGTCCTGACGGAGTCTTTGCAGCACGGTCGTCATGGCTCACCGACCTCAGCCCAGTTCCCCAGGCGATGCTGCGCCCTCCGCGGCGAACATCGGCAAGCCGCATTCGCCGACGGAGGTGTTTGTGTGCAACCCTTCGTTCGACCGACTGCTGGCTGTCAACGAGGTCGGAGAGGTCTGTCTTGCCGGCCCGCAACTGGCCCGAGGGTGCGCATACATTGGTGTTGTCTGTGAACATCCAGTCTCAATTTGTCCCGTCTAGCTACCGCAATCGGGCCGATCTTACCAGCCAAAGATTCGCAGTCCATCCCCAGAATGGCAAGCGGATGTACAAGACCGGGGACCGAGGGAAGCTGTTGGCCGATGGGACCGTGGTCCTGATGGGCAGAATGGATCGCGAGCTGAAAGTCCGAGGGTACAGGTGAGTCGATTGGCTCCAGGACCGATGCTTGCACTGACGCCGACGTCGAGGATCGACCTGGACGACCTGGAACGCACCGTTGTGGCTGTGATGCCGTCCATCATCAGCGTCTCGGTCCAGTCCTCTCCGTCGGGCACCGACCTGTGTGTCTTTGTTTCGCCCCAGACTGTCGATGGGACCGAGCTGAAGCGGCTGCTTGGGCTCCGGGTGCCGAGCTACATGGTGCCGCGGAATGTGTATTGTTTGCCGCGGCTGCCCTTGAACACGAGCGACAAGACGGACCACAAGGTGATCAAGCTGCGCATGGAGGAGCTGATCAGGGACGCCAAGTTCCCATCCGGAGCGACGACACCCATCAGCACGAGCTCTGACGAAGACGACCTGAGCTCACTCGAGGATTCCAGCCGCAGCTCGACCTTGGCTGATTCGACCATGCTCCAGGCCGACGAGTCGGTGTCGCATCAGGACCTGACCAATGTCTGGATCGAACTACTCGAGCTGAAGTCAGCGCCTTCCGGGAAGAGCAGCTTCTTCGATCTCGGTGGGAACAGGTAACAGTCATCAGTCTGTGCTTGCCCCCTGATGGCTGACGTCTCTCAGCTTGCTCGCGCAGACGCTCATCGAGAAGGTGAGGGGGCAACTCCCGTCGGGGTCGTTGTCGGTGTCTGTTCTCGACCTTTTCACCTACCCGTGCTTGGACGACTTTATTCCGTTCGTCCAAAGTCGTGCTCCTGCCAAGGTCACAGCTCCCAGAGTGAAGGGCCCTCGGATGTCGAGGCAGTCCTCGACCAAGTCACTTGCACCAGCCAGCCAGGTGGACACCATTTCAAGCCTGACGAACATCTGGAAGTCGGTCTTGCAACTGGATCGGGTGGCCAAGGACGCGAGCTTCTTCGATGCGGGCGGAAACAGGTGCGCGAGCTACGGGATCTTGCCGAGAACTTGTGACTCATTGCGTGCAGTCTGTTGATGACGACGCTGCACAAGTCCATCGTCCGGTCCTGGCCCGGTTGCGGGGTGCAGCTCATCGACTTGTTCCAGAACGCGACGATCCAGAGCCAAGCCGAGTTGATCGCAGTGCCGTCGCCCGTGCACAGCACCGCACCGTCTTTGAAGGCGCGCAAGAAGAGGGCGAGCGCCACTGGAAAGAAGGAGCGAGTCGCTAGCAGGGAGTCCGCCGGCCCAGACGAAAGCAGAGACATCGCCATCGTCGGCATTGCCGGTCGGTTCCCTGGCTCGTCCTCGCCCCAGAGCTCTATCAGCTCTTGCTCGACCAGACCGAGGCATTGACGCATCTGTGCCCGGATTCGCCAGTCGAGGTGTTTCCCGGCGGGGTGTATGTACCGCATCGAGGCGCATTGAAGGACGTCTGGGAGTTTGATGGTGCTCGGTGGGGCATCAAAGCTGAGGAGGCTGAGTAAGTGTTCGTGACATGTGTGGTCCGCGGCGGCTGATGACCGCCACAGGGAGATGGATCCGCAACAGAAACTGCTCATGACCGTCGCCCAAGAGCTCTGGAGGATGCGAGTGCGGTTCCGCCTGCTTCCGGACCGAACAAGATCGGCTTGTTCGTGGGAGCCGCTCCCTCGACCTGGGTTCCCAGTTGCGTGCTGCATCGCATTTCAGATCAGCGAACTGACCTTGTTCTTAGGCAAGCCAGACGAGGATGCGTTCCACCATGCGCACCGAGAGGCGCTGACGCCCTGTCTGTCGGCGCTGACCGCGTACCATCTGAACCTGCAGGGCCCGAACGTGACGCTCCACACCGCCTGCTCGAGCGGAATGGTCGCCATGTCGTTGGCAGTCGACAATCTCCGCTCGAAGACGTGCGATGTCGCACTGGCGGGTGGAGTGTCGGTTGCATTCCCGCAGTGCGTACCGAAAACACTTATCGCCGCCGGCAAAAGCACTCACCGTTTGCAGAGCGGGATATCTCACTGCGCCGACACGCCTGTTCTCGCCTTCTGGGCATTGCCGACCATTCGACTCGCGATCCGACGGCACGCTTCCGGGAGACGCAGTCTGTGCGCTGGTGCTCAAGCGGATGAGCGACGCTGTCCGCGACGGGGACGATATCTACGCTGTGGTCAAGGGGATGGCCGTCGGCTCAGACGGAAGCCTGGGAAAGCAGGACCGACTGTTCCCAGCCCGAGAGGACAGGCGCAGAGCGTGAAGGGCGCGTGGATGGATGCGGGTGTCAGCGCAGGGAAGCTGGTCTATGCGGAGTGGGTGTTGGATATCCAGGTTGCGCATGTCAACTCCGCTAATGTTTTGCACAGACTGCACGGCAGTGGAACACCGATCGGCGACGCACTGGAGCTCGAGGGCTTGAAGATGGCCCGACGAGAACTCGGGGTCGAGAAGACGCCGTACATTGTGGGATCGAACAAGGGGAATCTGGGCAACTGCGAGGTGCGGGACCTGATCTCCGTCTCGTATTGACAGATTCAAACCCCTTCTCAGGCTGCATCTGGATTGGTCTCTGTGATCAAGCTCGTCAAGTCCATCCAACATGGCGTGGTTCCCCCGCTGCAGTCCTTCGAGCAGCCGAACCCGGTCATCGACCCGACGCTGAAGATCTCGTTTGCCAAGAATCCCGTGCGGTTGTCTCCCGACGCGCTGCTCAGTGCATCGAGCACGGGTCTCGGCGGCGTCAACGCTCATTGCGTGCTGGCATTCCCCCCCGCCCAGCACAAAAGAAAGGCGTCGGTCGAGGCGACGTTCATCAAGGGTCCAGTCGACGTGTCGGTCGAGGTGCCCAGTCCGAAAGCGAGTGTGCCAGATGCCACGTCGGCTGGTCATCTCGTGCTCCGTCACGTTCGATCTATCCTCGGCACGGACGAGATCAGCTCCACGACAGTATTGAGGGATGCCGGGCTGGACAGTCGCGGCCAGATGGCGCTCCTGCATCAGCTGCAGCAAGCAGGGTGCCACATCCCGTGCGTGCCTTCCTTCATTTAGAACTCGTCTCTCGGGCATTGACCGAATCCCTGCAGTCTCTCGGCGTTCATCGACCCATCGTGCACGGTCGAGTCCATTGTGGCGTCGATCAGTGCATCGCTTCCCTCCTACATCTCGTTCCTGCAACAAGCTCCGACGGGAACGACGTACGTTCTCATCGCACCAGGAGGCGGCAGCTGCCTGTCGTATGCTGCGCTGGCGCGTCATTTGCCGGCAGATTCAACGATCATGGCGCTCGATCACCCTGCGCTCCACGGCATCGACTCGGATTGTGGGATCAACGAGCTCGCCACGAGATACGTGAAGGACATGCCGCCCACTTGTCGCGATGTCGTGCTCGTGGGCGCCTCGTTCGGTGGTCTGGTCGCGACGGCGATGCTGGGCCCGATGCAAGAAGCCGGAATCCAAGTGCGCGCGGTGGCCCTCATCGACAGTCCGTTCCCAGGATCCACCTCCGCAGACGTCTTGCTGACTGCGGATGCGTTCGTTCGCAACGTGTTCTCTGCGGAGTCGAGGCCCGCCTTGTCTGCCGAGGAGGCGACCCTCGATCTTGCGGCGTTCGCCGCTCGGCATGGCAGCGATATCCGTGCGCTGGCCGGGACGTACGAGAAGAACGTGAAGGCGATGGCTGACTGGCTACCGTCTGGACCCCATACCACCTCTGCGCTATATGTCGCTGCGGCAACTGACGAGGTCGACGAGCGCTGGAAGGCGGCATATTCAGGGATGTCCGTCGAGCGAGTCGAGGGGAGCATGCCGGTGCGTGGATTGGAGACAACGCCTCCAAGCTCGCTGGGTGGATCGCAGGGTTGCTCGCCGCTCAGTCGGCCTCATAATGTATTATTTCTTCTAGGGTTATCTCCAGCATAGAATGTTCTCGTGACACAATATATATCAACTGTTCTTCTCTCATCTTGCAAACGCGGTCTGTTTCTGTTGCGTCCACCTCCGGCGTCGCCTTTCGCTTGGACGCTCACCACGTCGACCGATGCAACACGAAGGAACCCCGCCGATATGCGACGCTACCCGAGTCGGGCG